ATGCACTAGTCTGTATAACATCAAATCTTCTAATTTTTTGTGTGAATAAAAATTCAAAATGGAAAGCAAGTGTAATATAAGAGGGTCCTGGAGATGTGACTAATGAACAGAGAAAATGTTATTTTAGTGCTAGAAATGTTTGCATTGTTAATTTTGGACCCTATTTTGAAATTGGCCTTTCTTGAATTGTGTATGAAATTGGCCAAATTACCAATTTCTGATAAGTTTATTGGGCAGTTGAAATCAGCACCATATTTTGCGGCTTATTAGATGCATTTTTTTTTCCCATAAAATGTCTTAAACACAAATCCAAATTTTTTTTAAACAAATCAATGACAGCAAAGTGGGTATGGGGTGACTGAGCTAGTAGCACTATGCAGAGAAAATTTTTTTTTTTATTTCACATGGCCGATCCAAGAAGGTGCCAAAAAGTTAATTTGGACCTCATTATGAAACTGTGCCTCTTTACATACAGTTGTGTTAAATTGGCAAATTAACCACTCCTGTTCAGTTTAAAAAAAAACTGGAGTGAAAGACCTCTGGAAAACATATGCGGTTGAATGAGATGAATTTTTTTTTCCCATAAAAGTGTATCAAAAAAAACAAAATAAAATTAAACTGAAGACGTAACTGGGAGCTAATCTCGCGTCCAACTGTAGCTCCCGTCACGATCTTCAAGCCATTGAAACTAAAACAAATCTTTTAAGCCGCGAAATAGGGTCAGTGGGCAGTTTCTTGTACTCGGTCGATAGAACAAAAGCAGTTCTAGCAAAATAACTACGATAAAGTACATACAATACTTACCTTAAAATAAGTGTTGGTCACCCTTTACACAACGGTTGTTTGAAAACGGTGGGGAAGTGACAAAAGCTCCAAATATAAAGAACAATGGCTCAATTGAAAGCTAATGAGAATGTGGAACACCGAAAAGAGGCGTTTCTTTATATTGTTTCTTTGTATTTCTCTTTCAAATAATTTCCACCTTGCAGTTTAGAAGGCTGTATATCGGCAGTGCGTTTGGGTTTGTGAAATTTGGTCTAAACAAATAAAGATAACTACAATGTGCCATGGGAAGTTTGGCAGGATCTTGGACTTGAACATACTTTGGTGAAAATGCTCTTCTCCGATTGAGGATGTAAATTGTCTAATTTCACTGATGGTTTTATTTAGTGTGTGCTAAATTAGGGGAAGTGACGGTTCGTTAAATATTAATAAAAATGTAACAATACAGAAGATGAAAATTTTACAGGGTGTTGTTTTGCATTTTTGTAGCAACTGCTTTTATAATTCATTATGTTAAAACATTAATTACCACAGATGTTTTAATCTTTTCTAATCTTATTAGCTCCATCTTCTTTTTTGTTTATTTTATGAAGACAAAACAGCCCAAATTAATTTCAGTATTGCTTGATTGCACATGTAGCAGTACAGGATATGACATCTTCTTCTCACCTCTCTCTCTTGTCTAAATTCTTAACTTCTTTTCTCTACAGCTCCCTATCTCCTTTGTTTTCCTTGATCTCCATTTTCTCATGCCACAAATTGATTCTCATTTCCTATTCCCTCCTCCCCTTTTCCCCTCCCCTCCCTCTCTCTCTCCTCCTCTCTTTTTCCCTTTTCCCCTTTCCCCCCCCCCTTTTTTTTTTCTCCTTTTTCCCTCTTCTCTTTTT